AAAAAATAGTTTCACATAAACCTTATCATATATATATAAACATATATTTATAGTTCTTCTTCTATCATGATATTGACGGTGTAGGTATATACTTAAATAAATTACTATTATAATGCCTTTTGAGTTTCGATATTATTATTTGTATTTATACATCTAATTATGCAATCTTTTCAAAATATAGTTGCACATATATAGTTAAGTACAACATTATGTTTATCACATATAAGTATATAATGTATTAATAAAATTGCCCAATAACTCATCTAAATACATGGGTATCACACCGGCCAACCGGCCTCAACTCGGTTGACCAGAGGCATTGACCCATTTTGGTCAACCCGTTTGACCCGATTGCTGTATATTTTTTTTATTATTTTTTTTATTTTTAAAATATTTTTGTTTTTAAAAAATAAAACTATGTATATATATTTATACGGTTATTATTTATCATGAGATACATTTATATACAAAACATTTAATTTTGTTACTTTTATGTATAGTTATATAACAATATACTATATATATAATTAAAAAAAATTAAAATTAACTATCTGGTTTAGCAATTGACCTGGTGATCTGACGGTTGAACCGGTGCCTCGGAGATCTGCCCGGGTCGATTCTCAGGCCGGGTTTAAAACCTATGTAAGCAAATAATTAAGAGTACGTTGTAATTAAGAGTATGTTTGTAATTAAGAGTATGTTGTAATGTTCGTTTGCCGTGGTGCTTTTATTTCTACGTTTTTTTTAAGGGCTATGTTACTAAACTCCTTCCTCATTGTTTCTTCGTAGTTTTTCTTTCTCTCAACCAGAATAAGCTCTATCTATGTATACCTTCTGTCTTCACTATTATTTGTCAAATTTGATAAAAAATATTGGATGTTTTATTTGCTAATAAATTTGGGTTGTTGGTTCTTGAAGCTACTCCAAATTCTTGCGTTTTTTGCTTCCATTTATTTTCTAGATTGTTTAGGCCTGGCCCAATTAATGGGCCGGGTGACTGTTTTATATGCACTTGGCGGCTTCAATTTTATTATGATGTTTGGTTTACTTTTGGTCAACGAGAATCAAGACCATAAAATTAAATAAAATATTTGTTTCACATTTTTTTAATTGCTCATTCAAATATAATTATCACTTTAACCAAAATAGCCCCATCATATCTTCATCTCTTTGGCTCTTTCTACAAACAGATTTCAAAGCAAATTGAGCAACACTCTCGAAAGAGTTCAAATATTTCCAGTTCACATTAACTCTTGTTTTGGTCAATAATATTTTTTCATCAAATTAAACATTTCATCCACAAGCTAGTGGTGTTGTGTAGTGGACGAGGAAGGAGTTGGTGTTCCGACAACCAATCGATGCAAAAGACGTCGATCAACTAGGTCTTTGCGGCGTGATCGAGAATAAATCCGTTGCCGGGAGAACAACTTCTCTTACATCCTACGTACCCTTCCGTGTGCTGCAACTCGTCTCTACGAAATTTAAGATAGATCCACGAATTGCCTTTCTTAAAAATGATGGGTCTGAAATTAAATTTGTATTTGAAGGTTTTCAACAACGAATGGTTCATGGTAGATTTTCTGCTTTTGCTACGATGAGTTGCTTTTGATAAAGTGAGGGCTAATGAGTAATTAGACAATTGTGAAGTAACTGCTTGATATTGTATCCCAAGCTCATGGTGGGATACAGTATAAACAAATCAATGGATATAGAACCGGGCTTGAGTAATATCATGGGCTTTTTGGACAGGGCCGTCTCCAGAAATTTGGAGGCCCCAGACAAATTTTTAAAAGTGACCCGTAATCGTATTTGTATATTTTAAAATTTTTAATTGAACAAATAATATTAAACATTGTCAATAATAAATACGAAAATACAATGAATATGAGAAACAAAAGTAAACTAAAATAACAAAAGCTTACAACTTTCTTGTGCTTTTTTGTGCAAAAAATTTCGATCAAAACTATTTTGTTTTCCGCATTCGTCAAAGATCGTTTGTAGCGTTTAGTATTGAAACTTCTACATTTATAGTTAATAGGATATACGACAATAGTAACTCCGATCACCATTTCTCGACTAAAAAAAAAAATTTAGGGCACATTATCCTTGCAATATCCAGAATCCAACAAGTCATCCGAATTTTCACAATTAATAGATTATCATTCATATTCTCAATATCATTTACATTCTCTAACTTATGATTTTCTTCTTAAAAAACTTCAACCCCTCTATCATTACCATCTAAATGAATTTGATGTGTTAAATCTTGTTCAATTTCAACTAGGAGTGCATCAGCTACTTCCTACACAATTTCAATAGGATCAAACACATCAACTTCTACTACATAAGTATTAGGTTTTACGTATATATCCTTACATCAGGCGAGAGACTTTGTTAATATCTCACATTTTCGAGCATATCGAATTGAATTTGCATTTGCCCGTCGTAACTCATGTAAGAAATCTTATCTTAAAATAATCTAATAAGTTTAATCCTAATGATAGTTAACAAAAGTTATAAATTAAAGGAACAATAAGTATTTAAAAGGTAATTAGTATAAAAAATTTTGAATCAAAAGCTTAAAATTTCTATATGTAATATGCTAAGTTCAAAATAATACGCTCCATGTAAGTGATTTGAATCAAGAATTAATATGCTCCTTAATATTTTCTATTTTCATGTTGGATGAACCTTGAAGGTGAGAAGAGGAGCCACAATTATATTGTAATCTCTTTAACTTAATTAGTTTTAATAATTTGTAAATGGGTCAATCTCAAACAAATACATACAATTAAAAAAAAATAAAAATGTGAGGCCTTTCAAAATTGGAGGCCCTAGGCAACTGCCTATTTTGCTTGCCCAAAGAGCCGCCTGTGTTTTTGGACGTGAACCAAACAACTTAAACTAATTAATGATTTATACAGTACAAAAGGCTTGATATCAAGCTTGTAAAGGGCAACCAAACACATATAACATCGCAGGGAGGGTCATTAATTACTTTTTAATTCACAAATTGTATTAGAAAAATCTAAAATTAAGAAAAAATGAATCAAACGGTAGTTTCACTAAGACATCACACAACCGTTAGATGTAACGGGAAAGCTGTCTCCCATCTGCCAACACACAACAGACGCGTCAGCCGTCAAGTATAAACCCTAGTTTAACCACAGTAGTAATAGTAGGTATAGTGGAATCCCATAAAAACCAACACGTGTCTGTTATCTCTTTAACTAGAGTTGTCCGTTATACCTGAGAGAGCCCTTATTCACACAGATCACCATTTTTTAATATCCCAAGCCAATGGAAGTTAACGTAGTTTTTTTAATTAAGCTTTGACTTATTTGACTGATTAATTCCACCTTACAAAATAAGCAATTTATTCCTGTGTACGCATTATATTTAGCTAATGATCTTCTTTTGAACAACTTAATTTTGTAGGCTACAAAATTAAGTTGTTCTCAACAATTAACGTGCATGGATTTGCTTAGTGTGTTATTAATATTATCATAACTGTTATTAATATGAATTTATTATAGCTTTGCAATGAAATCTTGATAGCCGCGAAGAAAAAGGCCAACTGCAATTAAAATGCAGCTTGCAAAACAAATCACAACATCATCATAATTCCCTGCTCTTACAATCCCAAGTAGCACATCCAAATCAAACACCACAGTCAGCAGCATCAAAAGAGAAATAACATCCAAAAATCCATCATCATAATCACAATTCACAAGGATAATAATACTACTTAATAGGCACCTCGATCACTGCCCCGGCTGCCTTGCTTTTCTTCTTCTTCTTGGGAAACACCAGCTCGAGAACACCATCTTCCACCATGATAGCCCTAATCTCCTCGCGCTTGCACAGGTGCATAGGCAGCTGAATGAAGTACCTCCCCACAGGGTGCTCGAATCCCGCCTCCTTGACGTCCACCAGCAGCACCGAGCCATCCATCCTCACTTCCACGTCCTCCTTCACCGCTCCAGGCATAGGCATCCTCAAGTGAAAGCTCTTGGCCGTGTTCTTGGTCTTGATGGTGGACCTGTCGCCGCCGTTGAAGGGGGTGAAGCCCTGGTCGATTTTGTCGCCGGTCGTGCCCCAGTTCTCTGCAAATCCACGGATCCATATTTCAGTTCAAGGAATCGCATAGAAAAAACACAAGATCTATACGAAATTTCAGCTTAAAAAAAAAAAGATCTGAGGAGCTTGAGCGTGAAGACTAAAACAACAGAAAACGCGAAACGAGAGAAATTGGAGCGCGCAGGCATGGATCTGAATGGAGTAAGTAAATACCAGAAATCGAGATGTGGCGCCGCAGACAATCCGAGCCGTCCAGCTTAAGGGCGCCGGTGCGGACGAGGGACTCTGGCGACGGCGGCGGGCGTGAGCCTGACGCGGCTTTCCCTCTTTTGTTCTGTTTTTTGTTCGTCATGTTGAAGACTGAAGACGATGGCGGGTGCAGTGACAGCCATTCTCAGCGCTGCCTGCTGCCATTTTTATAGTGAGGATGAGGTTAGGGGTAAACTAGTAAATGATGGACGCAAAGGAGTTCGAGAATCTTCTCAAGGAAAATCTAAAGATTGGGCCGGTTTATAGGCCTCTGTATTTGTTTTGTAGGATTTGGTTTATGGTTTGTAGAAACGGGTTGATTGTGTTCTCCGGCCCAAAACCCGACACGCTAAACTCCAATTATTTCACAGGTGCCATTTTATTATCCACACGGACCACACAGACCCAATGGTCTATTGGCATTCTTTTTGATAACTGGCTTATTTATTAAGGAAAATCTGATTGGGCAATTCAGTTACACCTTATTTTTTATGCTGAATTTTTGTGTAAATAGGATGTGTTTATTATCTAACTAGTGTTGCGTTTACTGTCGATATTATAAATTGAACAAGATTTTCATGAAATTACAAATTTAGCCCTCATTTTCAAATTCTTCTTTTGAACCCTGTGCCCGCCTCCTTTGTCGTTTTCTTCTCCAAAACGCCGATCGGCGACTTCTCCTGTCGTTTTACCGTCGGGGTGGAAATCGCTACTTTAGTGAGTCGACTCGTCCAGAACATGGTAGCCGGCCTCCATCTAGACAATGCTTTAAATGGCGCCTGCTCGAGAATTTTTATTTCTTCAATTAGTCTTCATCCAATTACAAAGTTTACTACTTTGAAAAGGGCAGCACCACGATCAAGGACCTGGCGACGGTAAACACCACAAAAGGTGTAGTTATTTTTCGAACCAATAAGCTTCACACAATTTCATCCATCGTTCACCCATATTCCATATGTGAAACAACTTTGAGAGGAAAACTATGTCGTATTTCATTAATTTCTTTTGACAGTTTGAAGTGAATCAACTCTGTAACCAGTGATGCCCTCATCAATTGAGAGTAAGAAAAGATCCAATCCACAATCATGCTTCTAGTTCAATTCGAAAAGCTCCAGTGGGATCTTTTCCTCCAGAAGCTCCAATTGCTATGCGTTCACCCAACTTAAAGGGGTGATTATCATATACGATAAATTGGTGAATTTCGTCTTCGAATACTTCAAAAAGGCACTCCTTACATATTTGCTCGAGGGTTTTTGGGACGTTTGAGCACTGTCCTCCGGGTGTTGCAAAGGTAAGATATATATATATATCTTACCACTCTTAGGCTTTACCGGCAGCAGCGCGGCCTCTACCTCTGACTTCATGCTAGAAGCGAGGTATAAGGTACTCGACCATATATTTGGTTGAGTGGTGAATGGTTAGGGCTGTAAGAGCCGAGTCGAGCTCGATCTTAAAGTGTTTGAGCTCGAGCTCGAGCTCTTAACGAGTTGAGCCGAGCCGAGCCGAGCCGAGCCCGGCTCGTTAAGTAAACGAGCCAAAAATCGAGCTCGAGCTTTAATGAGCCGATCTCGAGGTTTAACGAGCCGAACTATAAAAAATTACATAAATTTCACTTTTCGAGCCTTCACGAGCCTTATCGAGCCGAGCCGAGCTCGGCTCGTTAACCGGACGTGTTTTAAATGAGCTCGAGCTCGGCTCGTTAAGGCTTCGAACTCGAGCCGAACCGAGCCTTAACGAACCGAGCCGAGCTCGAGGCGAGTCGAGCCAGGCTCCTTTAATTTAACAGCACTATGAATGATGAGGGTTGTGATGACGAGGTTCGATTGGTGGTGGTGGGTAATTATAAGGGTGTTTAAGTCATTTGCCAGGACAGTTCAAAAACACATGTAATAATGTATAAAAAAAATCCGAGGTTCCAGGGGGGACAAAAAGCATTGGCCAAACCTGATTAGTGGTGGGCCACCACAGGCCATATGTAAGGCAAATTCTAGGCACTATCAAGGAGAATAAATGACGGATAATAAGGTCGGATATCTGAAATTGTCTTGTGCTTTCTAACCTAGTAAACAAGGCCCTAATATAATATAATATTAATTATTTGATAACTTCAAATGTAATATTTCAAAACCATATCTAGGATGTAAAGAAAATGAGCTTTATCAATATAAGACTCGAAAGATGGGTAAATTATCAATTCGGGGCCTGAATTTTTTTTTTTCTTAATTCGGGAATTAAATGTTATAAAACTATCAAATTAAAGACCCGAAAGATGGGTAAACTATCAATGGAGGGCCTGAAATATTTTTTTTCTCAATTTGAGACTTAAATGTTATAAAACTATCCAATTAAGTCTAGAATTAACAAAGTTTATAACACCATTAAATTTAGAGTTTAAAAAAATAAATGATTGGTGTTTACTCACATAAAATAATAAGTAAACATTTTCATAATATTAAAAAAAAAAAAATGGAC